AACAACAACAACTTTAATAATAACAACAACATTAATAATAACAACAACAACATTAATAATAACAGCAATAACATTAATAATAACAGCAATAACAAGCCAACATATTCCCCAACATAACACATCATAACAAACAATAGAAGACGTTATCCCGGGGACCTTAACACTCTCATCAACACTGACCTGACCTGACCTGACCTAACCAAACCTGACCTGACCTGACCTAACCTAAGACATTATTTGTATTAAGTCATAAGTGTACTAATATACCTACATATAAATAGCACATGCAGTGAAACCTCTGTGTAACGGACGATACGGAGAGGAAAGTCCGTTATATAGAGGGTCTGTTAGATGTGAAAATACTATCTAACGGACTATGTAGATGAGAGTCCGCTATATAGAGGGTCCTTTAGATGTGAAACCCCCTATTTAATGGACTATATGGAGGAGGAGGAGGAGGAAGAGGCGGTGAAAAATATTGAGAGGAGAGAGAAGAGGAAAAACACGAAAGAGAGAACCGGAGTGGGAAGTGAGAGAAAATCAAGGTAAAGAGGAGAGGAGGAGAAATATGTGGTAGAGAGAGAGAGCAGGAGAGGAAGGGTAAAAATAAATGTGGAAAAGAGGAAGAAGGTGGGAAGGGAGAAGTTATATGGGAAAGATGGAAAGGAAAAGTGTTTGGAGAGAGAGAGAGAGAGAGTGCGTGGTAAAAAGGTAAGAGAAAGTGTGATAAAGGGCAAGAGAGCATTGTAAAGGCCAAGAGAGAGAGAGAGAGCGTGATAAAGGGCAAGAGAAGCGTGGTAAGGGCAAGAGAGAGAGTGTGGTAGGGCAAGAGAACGTGGTAAAGAGGCAAGAGAGAGTGTGTGGTAAGGGCGAGAGAATATGTGATAAAGGCAAGATAAAGAGTAATGAGACGAGGCAGCCCATTTCTAAGCTGGACGTTAAGCTTCTCAAGTTATCCCATGGGGACTGACAAGTGTGTCAACACCCTCTTTTACGGTCCATAATTTACGAGACAAAAAAAAAATAAGGTAGTGGTCATTTCACCTTAAATGGGGAGGGTCCAGTCCTAAAAGGTCCCCGACGACCCAGCTTGACCTGACTTTTACATTATAGGTAGTCGGATCCATTGCGAAAGAGACCCTTTAGTATTGGAGCCCTTTAGTGTTTGAACCGATTAGTATTGGAGGTTCATTTGTATTTAGGACCTGTTAGATCTTGTGCCTGTTAGGTCTGAGGCCCATTAGCTTTGCTTCATTAGTATTTGGTTATATTAGGATTTGGACCCAATAGGAGGTGGGGGAGGGGGGTGCTTAATTGGACTGGAACGTATTAGAACTGGGGCCCTATTTGATCAGTCATCCCTATTAGCAGCTTCAACTTTCAGCCCCGGTTTAAGAGAGAGTTACCCAGACGGCTAATGCTGGGTGAATTATTGAGAGGAAACGAAGGCAGTCATATTCTCAGGCCTTAATTATAGATCATTAACTTATACTTCATTGATGGTGGAGAATCCTAATTGGTTTTACTTTCTTCATTTTTTTGTTTTTTTGCTGAAAATTTTGGTCCCCACTTCAGGAATTATTGTTAATCTCTATAGCTGGTGTTTTTTTATCAATTATCGAAAAGAAATGAAGATATTTATTCCTAGTTATTGTTTGATTTCGTATTCATTTAGATTATGGGAATAATTTACTTCTTTTTTATGATTTTAATAGAACGTCATTCCCAGATGTTGCTTTTAAATATGTAATTCCTGTCTTATTGAAGGTCCCAGCTGGTCCGGTCTCCAGATGACGTAGAAAAATGAAAGAACAAAATGGTATTGGGTTTATTTATTTACTAATTATATTGAGAATAAATTAATTAAATTATATCCTCGGTTGCTTTTACATCTTCGTCTCGTATTTCGGGCATTTCTGAGATCCCAGAAAGGGTGGGTACGTGTGGAGGTGGTGGTGGTGGGTGGAAGGACTGAGTGGTGGTGGAGGGAAGGGTGGAAGGTGGGGAGAGGCAGACGTGATCAACGGCAGCAGCCAGATGAAGTTAGTTAATTTAAAGTCTGGCGGCAGTCACCAGGGGAGGAGGGGCTGCTGCCTGACTGTTCTTGTCGTCATTACGCGCTCCAGGACTCTGCCGTCAGTCTTTCCGGGTCATGGTAAGAAGGCTTTCCAGGACTCAACAATGAGGCGTTTGAGAACTGCAAGGATACGTGCTAAGACTCGCCTGTGTGGGGGTTCAGGTCGTGACGGGAAGGACTTGCACTAGGACACCTCTGGTCTGGACTCAGCAAGGAAGCGTCTGAAGACTTTACCAATACGTTTCAGGTCATAACAAGAAGAGCTTTCGGATCTGACTGTGTGACGTCTTGAGGTCATATTATGGAGTCGTCCCAGCGGCCAGTATTATGATGTTCCCGGATTTAACAAGGAGATGTCCAAGGACTCGAGAGAGACCCCCCGGGATATAACAGAGAGAATATCCTGACGTCCACTGAAGAAACATTCCAGGATTTACCAATAAGACATTCTATTATAGAACTTGACCTCGGTACCTGCCACAGATACCGGCCTTCCTCGGTACCTGCCACAGGCTCATGCGATATGGATCTCGGGGTCCAGCAGTTGGCTCCAATAACCATTAGAATGGGGGCTATACAACGTGATCGCTAAAAGGCAGTTACATTGTTAGCTGGTCTTTATCTGCGCTTACCAAATAGACAGGATAGTGTGATGGTGGTGGTGATGGTGGTGGTGGTGAGGGTGGTGGTGATGGTGGTGTTGGTGTTGGTGGAGGAGAATCTGAGTCTTCTCCCTTTCCTCCTCTTCATTTCTCCTCTTCCTCTCTCTCCATCTCCCTTATCCTTATCCCTCCTTTCTCTCCTATCTTCTCCCTCTATTCTCCCCAGCCTCTCCCCTCTTTTCTCATCCTCTCTCCTCCCTTGGCACTCACAACCTGATGGTTTCCAATAGCTGGCACACTTCCTCCCCTTACCCCTCCCTAACCTTCTCCCCTAACCTCCTCCCCTAACACCTCCTCTTACCCCCCCTCCTTTACTCTTCCTTTTACCTCAGTTCCTCCCCTCCCCCCTCTTACTCTTAGCCTTCTCCTCTAACCCTTTCCTCTTCTTACTCTGTCTCCTTCCTTCGTCCTTCCTTTTCCCTCCTCCCTATATCAGTCCCCTTCCTTCCTTCTCACATTCCACTCCTTCTATATATCAGTCCCTCCATCTCACATTCTTTTTTTCTCTCCCTCCTTCCTCCGTCCCACATTCTCTCCCTCCTTCCCTCCGTCCCACATTCTCTCCCTCCTTCCCTCCGTCCCACATTCTCTCCCTCCTTCCCTCCTCCTTCCACGACACCGCTCTCCTCTCTCTCAATCTCCTCCTTGGATTCCTCTTCCCTATCCACCTCCGGACGTCCAGTTGTCGGGTCTAAGAGAGTGTGGCGGCATCCTATCACCGCTGGCGTGTGTGTGTGTGTGTGTGTTCTGTGTTGGGTCAGGGTCAGGGTGAAGGTCAGGGTCTGGGTTAAGGTCAAAGGTCGTACCGAATATTGACATTGAACTTCTTGTGTGGATTTTGTCAGTTTAAGCGAGTATTTTGTTGTGATATTTTGGATGTTGTTTAGATATTATAGGTTTGTGTTTGTGTTGTGTTGTGTCTGAAAAATGGAAGATGAAATTCAATGTGGACAAATGTAAAGTACTCAGTATAGGGAATGTAAACAGAAAGGAAGTACCAGATGAACAACGATTATAGAAATCCGACTGCGAGAGAGATTTAGAGTAATGATAAGTAGGAACCTTAAGCCAAGTAAACAATGTGTATTTGCTCGTAACAAGGCTAATATAGAGTACTTGGGTTTATACAAAAGTGTTAGTTACAAGACTAACGAGGTCATCCTAAAACTGTATCTTGCTCTTGTGAGACCACACCTGGATTACGCAGTTCAGTTCTGGTCACCGTATTACAGAATGGATATAGAATCCTTGGAAAGAATTCAGAGGAGAATGACAAGACTAATCCTGGGTATTAGGAGCCTTGAGTACAGAGACAGGTTAAAGCATCTTAAATGACACTCCCTCGAGAGACGTAGAGGTGAGGGCTATATGATAGAGGTGTATAAATGGAAGTCAGGGCTAAACAAAGGGACATTACAAGGTACTCAACTATCCAACCTGGAGCGAACTCGTAACAATGTTTTTAAATTAGACAAATTTAGATTTAGGAAAATAGGTAAACACTGGTTTGGAAATAGAGTAGTGGAAGAGTGGAACAAGTTACCAAACATCATCATTAACTCGAATATGCTGAATAGCTTCAAACATAGGTTGGATGGATATATGAGCGATACGGGTTGGGTGTAAATGGGACTGCCCAATATGGGCCAATAGGCCCGCTGCAGTTTCCTCCATTCTTATGTTCTTATGTGTCGTGCTGTGCTGTGTTGTGTTGTGTTGTGTTGTGCTGTGTTGTGTTGTGTCGTGTCGTGTTGTGCTGTGTTGTGCTGTGTTGTGTTGTGTCGTGTTGTGCTGTGTTGTGTTTTTGTGAAACTAATCGGCCATGATACGTACAGTATATTGTGAGTGTGATGTACTTTTTTTATTACAGTAATGCTTCTATTATATGCCAGTAATTACGGGTAATGACGAAAACCTGTCTATCTGCAGTTAGGATTAGGTTAGGTTAAGTAAGGTCACGTCTTGTCACACTCATTACGTGGAATACCCTCTTGTTATTAAGCTAAATGGCAGGTTGGTTTAGATTGACTGTGACGTATTTATACTGTGTAAATAAGGTGTTGGGTTGAATGTTGACTTGCACGACTTGGGCTGCAGTTTTTTACGACCTTTTGTATGACCTCATGTGTTGTACGACCTCAGTGTTGTACGACCTCAATGTTGTACGACCTCAATGTTGTAATGTTGTACGAGGTGAATGTTGTACGAGGTCAATGTTGTACGACCTCAATGTTGTACAAGGTCAATGTTGTACGACCTCAATGTTGTACAAGGTCAATGTTGTACGACCTCAGTGTTGTACGAGGTCAATGTTGTACGACCTCACTGTTGTACGACCTCAATGTTGTAAGGTCAATGTTGTACGACCTCAATGCTGTACGACCTCAATGTTGTACGACCTCAATGTTGTACGACCTCAATGTTGTACGACCTCAATGTTGTACGAGGTCAATGCGACCTCAATGTTGTACGACCTCAATGTTGTACGAGGTCAATGTTGTGCGACCCCAATGTTGTACGACCCAATATTGTACGACCTCAATGTTGTACAAGGTCAATGTTGTACGAGGTCAATGTTGTGCGACCCCAATGTTGTACGACCTTATGTGTTTACGACCTTAATGCTGTACTACCTCAGTGTTGTACGACCTCAATGTTGTACAGTCTCATTGATGGAGGCGGAGGAGGATGAAGCTTGA